AAAAAAAAAAAATCCTAAAAATGTCATGCTTCATTTTGATGACCTGGCCACAGAAAACTTGGAGGGGGCTTGAAGGAGGAACGTGTGTTTGAGTCAGTATTTAAGGTCCTTCTGATGTGTTTTCCTTTTATCTGTGCGTCTGAGCAGGGTTGGGGCACTTCCAAGTCTCGCAGTACTACCTGCCTCTCTCATCGACGGGCCCTAGAGTAGACATTAGCTGCCGACGGTGCCCAATCCTTGCCCCCCACCCCTCCCCCCACAGCGTAGAAATGGGTAGACAGATGTATGTTATTTTTTTAATACGTGCCAGCATCTCAATGAGAAATGACTTTTTGGTAACTTACCGACCTATTTATTTGAGATTTAAACAAAAATGAAAACAAATGTGAAAGTATTAGTAAAGCAGACTAGACTGTTCAGGGGATTTTTTTTTTTGGCAGGGGGAAGGGAGGGGATTGATAAAAAGGTGTGTTTGATGTCTTCTGGCTTGCAGAGTCCATGCGTTACAGCAGTTCCCGACACTTATGAAGCCCTTTTACAATCAGAGCAGTGTGAGCCAGACTGCAGCAGAGCCGACTACAATCTGTGAGGACAGATGAGCAGGACTGGCAGGAGTGGGGAGGACACAGGGAGTCCATAGTGAGTCTGTGAATATTTGTGGGTTGTTCTACTTTTTTTTTTTTGGCTTTAATATATAAGTGAAATAAGCAGGCCCAGGTACAAATGATTACATAAAAGTCTTCCTAGTGTTACTAGATCGGTAAGATAATACAGACAGTTGTGTGCACTTTCAGTGGATTTTGATACACAAGGTTTACATTTGATTTGCCTATTCTTAGTAGTCTTCAGTAAAGCCTTTGCAGCTCAGTCATAGGTTGCCCTGATCTCGACATATTATTTTTGCATTGCTTTCAGGTCCGATTTTTTTTTTCTCCTGTACAATGGCTGTCTTCTATATAAACATTAAAAGACATTCAGGCAACCTTTTATTTGTAATAATCCACTAATTAGGTACCAGTCCTGTGCACCGAGCTAAACCTCATGATGCCAAAGTAGAGCCAGGCCACCAGTAGGGATAAAAGGAAACCTCATGTAGACTGGAGGAACGGCCAAACCAAATCTCCAAGAAAAAGGTATGTTCTGAACAAACGTGCATTTGTTTGCATCCTCCAGTCTCTTCGGATTCGTTGTGTATAAGGTTTGATGTGTGTGATTTGGTGCGGCTGTTTGTGCAATCTGTGTAGGTTCTGGTGTTTTTGTACTGGATCTATTAGGCCGTCATCATTCTCCGCACCCCCCTCCCTTTGCTTTGATGTGGGCCTTTTACACTTCTGAGAAGTGCTGGAGCGACCGCAGATGCCTCTGCCTGTTAGAAACTGTAACTGGTAGAAAGTCACTCGCACTCCAGAAACTTTTGTAGTCAATCTTCTTTTATTGACCATCAAAGTGTCGCATAACTTTAGCGACGTTTCGAGACCGTCTGGTCTTCTCTTAAGGCATAACAGGCATAACACTTTTGTTTTGCCTGAAGAAGAGGCCAGACGTTCTCGGAGGCCATAGGACACGATTTCCATGATTCAGTTCTGCTCTAAGGAGGATAGGAGAGCCTGTCTCCAACATACCTGAGGCTCCGGCGTGGTTCATAGTCACGTCCTGCAAGCTGTAGGTCAGAATGAGCTGTGTGTGTTTAGCATGAAAATGATCTGAGGATGCCCTTCACTGTGCCCGGTGACACAGCCCAGTATGAACAGTGCCATTCACATGTTACATGTGCTTTCCATGTAGGACCATGTGTGCACTGGACCCCCAGATGAACGGGTACAATTTTCAGTGTGAAGAGTTAAAGTAAACCCTTTCGGGGGTGCCAATGTTGACTGAAAATGTTTTTGCCTGGCTAATATACCAACCCTCTGGCTTCAGTACATCAAGATACTGACCAACTGTTCATGAAGAGCAAAGTCAGCAGTCCTTATCTGTATAATCCTCAAAGTATTGATACGAGTGTTGAGGTGACAGCCAGACTCTCAGCATTTTCTTTTTAAAAGAGAAGTTAGCAATGGCCGCCTCAATGTATCTCTCAGGAAAGCTTTCATTTAAGGAGGAAATCCAAGCAGCAAATAAATATACACTGGCCTCCAGCATAACCCCAGTGAAGTGTCAAGCTGGCCGTACACTCTTCTATTTATTTCATTCAACCCACGGGCTGAACAAAAAAAATAGTGTTCTAAAGAGCCCTGCCATTTGGAACTATAGAAAGGTTTATGTTGAAACTGGAGACCCCGAGTACATTCAGGACACTTTCACACGAGGGACATAGATGTCATGGCTTTCTATAGCCTAGAAATATTGGTCTGGTCCCCCCGACCCCCATGCCATTATCTTAAAGCGAAGTGCACCTGATACCCATCACATCTGTGGTAGGCCCCATCTTATCCCAAATGGTATTCATCCTGTTCTACCCCTATGGCCGTGTACCGCAGATGTCAAAGCAGCCTTTTGTCATACCTGGCCGTAGAGGACAACCTATTGCTGTTAAACAGCAAGGACTACAAAATTCTCATCATTGTACCAAGGTCATTCAGAAGTGCTGTGCACGATTTCTTAAAGGGCAGCTCCACTAATAGATGGCTATGTAGTGTATTCCCCCCTCCAGGATCAGTGCTGTAGGACATCCATCAGACTTCATGTAGACTGGGCCCTTGTGATGAATGTTCTGACACTCTATCCTCATTATGATCAGCTTTCAGCTGCTTTACCTGCCAAAGGACTGATAGTTGTGTTCACACAGTCTTGTGTTGTATACATCTCTGCCACCCTGTGCAATCAGACAAGTGACACAGCTATTTCCTGCTTCAACTCTACAGTTTCCTGTGTCACCGGCTTGCATATTGAGCCACCATTGTGGCAATGATGATTTGTTTTCCAATTGGCAAGCTGGGCAGATCACATGGGCAGCTGCAGATCTGAATCAGGAAGGAGGATACAACTTCCTGTATTAGCTGCCCCCTCATTGGGCAATAAATCTGCTTCACCTCACTCTGTGCCCTCCTCCTGTCATCTGCCCAGACACCTCTTTATTCAGCTCCCAGTGCCTGAAAACTTGTCAGATTGTCAGCACTGTGCAATACATTCCCGCCTGATTGCATTCCCCCCATTCTATCTGATTTCTGCAGGAAGACAACATAAATAGATAGATTTCAGGCAGATAAACGAGCAGTATTTTGGTACAATAAACACGTAACTGGATTTTTATTTTGCTGGGAGTTCCTGTTTAAACCGTAGGGGAGTTTAGACTTCACTAGCACAGCACAGCATGGCAGGTTTCCTCCACAGAGGATAGATGGTGGGAGTAGTGGGTAGACCTCAGTTCAGTGCTTTCCCTGCACAGAGATTAGTAAGGATGCACCAAATCTATCACTTCTCTCCAGGCTCAGAATCTCGTGTTTTCAGACTGCCTCCTAAATAACCCCCATGTGTGGAGGATGATACAATCCTGGGCTGCTTATGGCTGCCTAAAATAAAGGCTACTTATTCTTACTGGTACGAATTCAACACCCCCCCTTGTAGGAAGGTTGAACATACAACATAAGATGGCGTATGCATGTGTAACGCACTTTTTCTTTTACCTTGTATGAGGGGCAGGCAGTGATTTGGTGCACCCTTTCTTGCAGTTCTGGCCAAAGGATATTGATGTCTGTGGGCTTGTCCAGCCCTGCCATTGCTTTCTCTCACTCCTCCACCTTCCTGGGAAAACCTTCACATAAGAATCGGTTCCACTGGAGAGCTCCCTCCAGGAATGGATGCAGTGAGCACGGTCTAAAGTGCCTTATTGCATTATCTTATCATTACAGCAGCTGGCATTTCGGTGTATTGTAACTGTCCCTTTCGTTTAACCGATAGGTCCTCCATATCGGCCAACAGGAAACCGTTAATGGATTACTGGCCCCATGCTCCCTGGACATTGCAGAGGCATACACTGTGTTGTAGTGTTGTGACGTATAGGGTGCCGGCTATGATTTCCTGACAAAATGGCCATCTGTAAGCTCACTTAGTACTGAACAAGTAAGTTGTTACATACATTGGAGCATTAGATTACTGCCCTAGAGTGTACCTGTCTTCTACAGATATATGTGGGTGGTCCAGTGTTTGGCCTTGTCACTCAGTGATATAACTGGTTTCCTAGGAATTTATGGCAACTGTCACCCAGTGGCCACCAGCTACAAATATAGGCACATTGGCTTCCTGTTGCCTCTTGGTTTTTAAATTGCTAATTTGATAGGTTAGCATCTCTTCAGGTATGGCTGGTGTACCGCCCACATGAAGCTCCAATGAAGTCATGGAAATAGACATTGCGGTTGATAGATGTTGTACAATGAGTTGCCCGGGGTGTCCATATGTGACTGCATTCAACTAGGCACCAGATTTTGAGCACACTCTTCAGTGTAATCTTACTGACCTGGTCAGGCCCACCCCTATTGGCAGTACAAGTATATGTGAGGACAGCTGTGATGAGGGGTGTGGCAGTTACTCAGCTCTGCCAGCACAGAGCCGTGGTGAGGGGTGTGGCAGTTACTCAGCTCTGCCAGCACAGAGCCGTGGTGAGGGGTGTGGCAGTTACTCAGCTCTGCCAGCACAGGGCCGTGGAGGGGGAAGTACATTTATAGTAACCGAGAAAGGTATTGTAAGGCATTTCTAAGTGAGGATGCATCGAATCCATAACTCCGTACGTTACAGGATTATAAAGAGAAAATTTGGTGAGAGACTTCAGTTGGGCTTTACTGGTCCTTTTGCCTCGTGTCCCAGCAATGCCACCGGCTTCTGGTGAAGAACTTATTCAAGATGGCACCTT